TTTTCAATTTTATCATCTTTACACTTAACAATTTCCTTCAGAGAAATGTATAAAACATTCGTATTAGTTTTTCCAACCCTTACGCAAACAAAAAAACATTCATTTGTTATAAATAATAATTCGTAAGAAATGTGACAACATTAGGTGAATCATCTTTTAAAAAGTCAAGTTTCATCATTTTTTGATTCGTTCTTCCTGTGAACACAAGAAGAAGGTGAGTTAGTTTAATCGGTACGTTTCTTGCAAAGTTCTCCGGTGCAGTTTCGAAGCGCATAGTCGTTCGAGGTCAAACGGTCGCTCGGCCAATCGTCGTCGCCCTCGGGATTTAGGTCGAACTATGCTTGCGGCCAAACTCCACGTTGCTTTTGCTTCTAAAGACTCGATTAGGTATTTTTTCCAAACGAAACAAGACAAATCCTTCAAGAAATTAAGGGATGCTTGGCAGTTAATTGATATACCTATCTTAAAAAATTTTGGATTTTTAATTAATTACACTATCAACAAAAACTTCCTAAAATTAACTTTGATTCTAGTATCAGGTGGATCAGAAAGTAATGTCACTGTTTGAACTTTAAAAATTCATACGAATACATTTTTAACAATGTTTTTTATTTTTTAATCAATAATATAATCACCCCCTCGTTATCAATACCCTTAAAAAAGTTCTTCTCATCCATCTAGCATGGCAATTTTTAAAAAATCAATCACTTTTTGATAAAAATATTAAAAATTGACGTACGTTAGTAGCAGACATTACTTTCTGGTCCCTCCACTTCTTTCAAAATTCTAACCTAAATGATACTTCAACGAATTCATTACAAAAAATAAACTTAATTTTTATAACATTAAATCTGAATACTTCAAACAATTAATAGGAATATTGATTAATGTGATATTAACATTAATTTTCCCTCTTTTCATTGAAATTTTATTATGCACAGTGTGTCAAATAATTATACTTCATCAACCTATTCTTCTAACAACTGAAAGAAACGGAAATGAAGATCCTATTTGTTACGACATCATGCGATTCTCTTTTTTTTTTTTAAAGAGAAAGTTTATAGCCCATTGTCTCGTGTGAAATCAATGACTTTTTCTTGCCATTATTACTCTTTTAACACTTTTTCTTTTTCCTATTTTATTTTTAAATAATAATTACTCTGTAGAAATTATATATTAGGTTATGTAATTTTTATTGTACTGTATATATAATTCAATTTTTTTTTTTTTTTCATTATTTTACAACTTTCAGTGTATTTTTTAATGCATCAATTTATTTTTTATTTTAAGAACACAATGTTTAAACATAAATTTCTACCACAATTTTTCTGTATTTTTTTTTTACAACTTTCAGTGTATTTTTTAATGCATCAATTTATTTTATTTTTTTGGCAATACTTCAGTATAAATTTCTATCCCAATTTCTTTTCTTTTTTTATTTAAATAATAATTATTATAGAAATTATATATTAGGTTATGTAAATTTTACTGTACTGTATAAAATTCAATTTTGTATTATTTGTTTGACAACTTTCAGTGTATTATTTAATGCATCAATTTATTTTTTATTTTGACAACACAATGTTTAAACATAAATTTCTACCACAATTTTTCTGTATTTTTTTTTATAATACATCAATTTATTTTTTTGAAAACACAATGTTTGAATATAAATTTCGTGTAATAATTTACGTGTATTGATATCAATTGAATGAGAAAACCTTGAGAATAAAATAAAAGAAAAACCACTTATGATTTAATTCGCGATTTCAATGTTTAATCAATTAAAAGTTCCTTTCCACACACACGGAAAAGTCCTAGCAGTAGCAAATGTCCCTGTATATATTTCTTGATTTATCTTTTACCGAAGCCATAATTGCGTCATAACGAATGCCCTTCTTGCAAAGTAAAAAAGTTATCTCTGGTCGATCGTAAATCTTGAAAAAGCATTTCTGTTGCGCGTATAACGGACACCGTATATTTCACTACAAACTTTATTACGTTATACGATAAGATTCAGGATAAAATATATATATATATAGATATATATATTGATATCATCGTGTTTTCAAATATATATATATACATTACTCGTCAAAAGTTTACGCTGATTTTTCCCATAAAAATCCTAACTAAAAAGCTCACAAGATAAAAAAACAAATGCAGAAATAATTTTATTCTATAATAATTAAATCAAATGTTAAAGCATAAGTATTAATAGACATTATTCTAGCAAACATTTAATAACAAAAAACTTAAAAATAGAATTTACTTAATTTACCAAAATTATTGTTCAACGATTCGTGGAATGAATTTCATTTGTTAAGGTAACTTAAAAATAGGATTTATCTAATCAAATTATATTGTTCAACGATTCACGGAATGAATTTTTCTATCTTGACATATCTTTGGCAACACTTACTTTTACATGCTGTAAAAAATATATAATTCTATTATAAATGTTTCCAAAATTAATTGCCAAGATGTGTCAGAGGTTTGAAATCAAGTTTTGGTTAAAAGTAAAAACAAGTAATTGGAAGATTTTGATGAAAATATTTATTATTAATAAATTGTAATTAATAATTAAATCAAAATACGTTCGTTTGTTTCGAATATTATTATTTTTCAGAATTTTCTACGTAAGAGTTTGATCAAACTTTTGATCGTTAATGTATTTTATCGCTGATTCAAACTGGACGCTCCCTGTAAAGTATACGAAAGAAACATCTTTCCTTTTTCTTTTTTTTTTTTCTTCTTATTTATTTTTCTTTTTTTTACGTAAAACGGACGTTGTGGACATACAGCATACACCTTTTGGTAAAATCAAACGTTGTCGTTCGTCGTTGTTAGCTTTTATCATGCGCATGATTTTGCTCTTTCCATCTATATCTTTTGAAAAAAAAAAAAAAATAAATAAAAAAAATAAAAAAAAATAAAAGAAACCAAATGTTGCGAACGATTTATAATTTATCAAATATCGGAAGATAAGATGATTTCATATTTGATATATAAATATACTTTTTTTTTTTTTTAAAGAACAGAAATAAATCCGAAGCCAATATTTTTAAATGTTTCTTTTCTTTTTCAATGTTACTCAAAACAAACGTAGAATAGAAAAAAAAATATAATAAATATAATTGACAATAAAAATTAATAATAAAAATACATTTTCTAAAATTGTCAATTATATATAAATATAATATAAATTATTATAATATTAAAATATAATATAAATATAATTTTAGTATAATTATTATATTATATTAATATATAATATATTAATAATTTATATTTATTATATAATATCGGGATTTAATATAAATATAATTTATATAATTAAATTTGTCAGTTATACATATATATATATATATATAAATTTTTTTTTTTTTGAAATTTCTGAGAATCGTTATAAGATTGAGACAAAGACCATACAATCGTGTGATTATTAGTTTTTATAGTAATTAGTATAGATTACTTTTTTCTTCTTTTTCTTTTTTTTCCTTAAATGAAAGTTGGAAATGTTATTTGAACGATAAATTATATGATTCTAAGAGAAGTTGTAATTTAATTCGTCGAAAGTTTCGCGACTTTACAGTAACGCAGTGTGTTTAACATAGAATATAATATAATATATATATATGATACAAGTATATAAAATAAAGTGAACTTAGGTAGAACAGAGCTACCAGAGTGGGTTTGCTTTCAATCGAGCTAGTTCTTTCGTAAGAAACACCTGCGAGTCATTATCCCTCACCTACCTTGGCTTTCCCCTGGCACACACAAGCCAGCCAATTCGATTTCTGCACGCGCTAAAAAATACAAATAAAAAAAAAAAAATACACCTAAACATATACTCAGCTCGAAAAGTATAAGTATACTGTACTCAACTGTATATACGAGTTCTCCAATCTCGTCATGAATGGAATATTGCATTTGATTGACGTTGATATTCGTAAGCGGTATATATATATATTATATATTCACTTTCACTATGATCCTCTACGATTTACGATCGTCAAACTTTTCATTTCATTTGACAGAATCTTTTGTATACCTTTTTAAAAGTCACAATCATTACAACCAACCACCATCAACATATTTCTTTTATAATGTATGTCATTTGAAATGTTCAACATTAATTTAATACAAAAAATAAATATATTTTTCTCTAATTATTCAGCGTAATAAAATATTCAATAATAATAGTGGTGTGTATAATATATTTTGTAATAATCAAACAACATTCTATATGAAATCTTTGAAACCTCGATCCGAGTATAATTATCTGGACACTGTGCATATGCGTAATGTAACCTAATTAATTCTTAGATATTTTAAACATTATTTATACTTTTTTTTTCTTTTTTTATCTTTTTACTTCGATACTGCATACATCTGTCGACGTTAAAAATAACAGTTGTTATACATGCTAAACATGTAAATTTTAATATTGATTGGAACTTGGAATCATTTTTAAATAACATTACATGAAATATTATATTTCGCGGGATAGTTTAACTTTTCATTGAGTCATTTCGCGATAAAATAATTACGTTTTATTTTTCCCTTTTTGTTAATTTGCTCCACATCTTTTTATGGAATTTTTTTCTTTTTTTGTTTTCTTATTTAATGACATCCTGTGAAGTAAAGTGATACGTTTTTTTTTTTCTGTACTAAATAAAGTATGAAGTGAATATAATCTTTTTGAATATGTGCGTAAGGTTTTCCTACAAATATGAAAAACCCGTAATAAAATTATAAATAAAACAAACTATGGTATCTATGTAATAAAATTATTAAATAATAAAATGATTACATAATTTTATAAATTGATACGCGTACTTTCCAAAGTGGACAACCAGCCCCATAAATTAATAATAACCAAAATTATAGAAGAAACAAAAAAGTCAAAACCCTGATACACATTTAACGTTCTTAAAGAATAAATATAAAAAAAAAATTACAATTATATAACATGGTTACTATTATTTATGTTACAGTTGTCTTTTGCGATTATACAGCAACAGGAAGGTCATTGCAATTTCTTGAAGAATACATTGCGAAGGAAGTACTACCATGTTTGGGAGATACTCGATCATCAACATCCATTTGTAGTTTACAATCCTCACTGTTCAGGTAATTAATAATAGATCAACCATAATTCTCTCAGTGGTTTTTTAAACCAATCACAATTATCCATCTTCCTATTAATCCTACTAACCCTTCCTATAACTCCAAATTATTTGTTAGTAAGTAAATTTTTGTTTTCTAGATTTTTCTTTCTATTTCTTCTGTTTAACTGAATGAGCAGTAAACGATCGCGATAACGATCGAGGCCGAAAGAACGCTTATATGCATTCTTAAATGCAAACGTGTGCATAGCCTACGGCCACCTGCCAGAGTCAGCAATACTATTTTATATACACCTGGTTCTCAATTCTACGAATACTTTTGCTTTTGCAAAAGTTCTTGCTACCTGTGTGTATTTGTTGTGTTCCCTTCAAACACTATCCGATTAAGTTTATTACGAAACCTATAACGTTGTTGATTCTTATCTTTTTTTTTTTTTTTACAAATGTCATTTACTTTCGAAAATTCATAGATACAAAAAAAAACAACAACAAATTATAGTACAATATATATAAAAATTATTTGAACCATAATCTAAAAGACATTTCAACGTGACGCGGTATTTCTTTCTGGCCTCGTATGCTTAAAAATATGAAATGTAATATATAATATAGTGATAAAAAAAAGAATACGTTAAATTTCACGAGTGTTGGTTGCAGTTATATTTTATATATTTGCTTACTCTTTAGCAAGAAAATATAAAAAAAAAAAAAAAATGAAGAATAGCAAATTATAAGAGTGTGAAAGAGAGATAAGAGATGTGAATACAACAGGGGTGTTCAACTTTTCACATATCACCAATACAATTTAATTTGTAACTAGGGTTTGATGCAAAAGTTGGACGGCCCTGAACTGTAAAATGAAAAAAAAAAAAAAAGAAAGAAAGAGTCATAAAAATATTTAATTTTTTATCTGTGAGTCCATATTATTATGTCGATCGTAAAGTATAATTCTTTGCGTAGAGAGAAAGAGATTGATGCTGACGTATTCGGATCAATAATATTCAATCCGCAGTACCAAACACACACACACACACACATACACAACTCGTTCATTTATTCGCTGATTCTTTTAAACATAAAAACTACGAAGAGAGAAAGGGTTGATAATTGTACGAATTTGTTCAATACATTTAATTAAATCAAAGTTATAATAATAATTATTGAAACATGAATGAAACGAATGATAATTTTTGTTTTTGTCAGGCACGAAGCAAGGGACATAGTTAGGCATGCTGTTGGAGCTGGTGACCAGGATGCAGTTTTATTCACGGGTCAAGGTTCGGCCGGTGCCCTTCGAACACTTCTCCGACTACTCGATCTCTCTAAATCCACCGTAGTTTTCGTTGGACCGTTCGAACACCATGACAACTTACAACCATTACGAGAATATGGTGTCAAGGTAAGGCACTATTCAAATTGGTTATTGAAAATTATGACTATTCGTATTGTATGTTTGTTTTGAATACTTGTAAGCATTTTATTTTTATTTAATGCGTATAGTCTTGACATTTTTCTTAATACGGACAAACATACGTGGGTGATACGAGAATCTGATATAAAAATCTGAAATTGTTATCCAAACGTGTGGGTGGTTTATTATTATAAGAATATTTATTTTATAATTTTTCAAAGTTATTTTTAAAAATGCACTTACGTTAGTCAAATAACATTCCTCCCTTTTGTGAACAATTCATTTATATATTATTTTAAATATATATAACAGATAGTACGAGTGTCCGAAACTAGAGAAGGATTTTTGGATCTGAACGAACTTGAACGTGGTCTAGCAAAGATGCGTTCAGAAGGTGTTGCGCAAATGATCGGTTGCTTTAGTGCAGCCAGTTGTATAACAGGGGTTTTGGCAGATGACGTTGCTACAACCCTTCTTTTACATCAATATGGTGCACTTAGTATTTGGGATTACACTACTGCAGGTAAAAATTTGTCACGAGTTTTTATCCTAAGAAAAATCTTTAGAAAATTTTTGATAAAACATTTGTTAGTTTTATTTATCGGAATAAAATCATATTATCGAACAGCGCCGTATACACAAATCGACATGAATCCACATCTCCCGGGAATGAGTGAATCAACAGCACACAAGGATGCCATTTTCTTTGCTGGACACAAATTCGTTGGGGGTGTTCAATCCCCAGGTGTTCTCGTCAGCAAACAATTCCTCCTAATGGACGAAATAAGAGCCGAAGACATGAGGGACACTCATCGTTATCTGAACAATCCTGAATTACGTGACGAAAGTGGAACCGCTGGTGTCGTTGAAAGTATTCGATGTGGATTGGCAATCCAACTTAAAGAAAACGTGACACCAAGAGCTATCGTCAATCGTCAAGACAAAATTTCCAGGTATTAACATGCACGCATGCACGCACGTATCGGGGTTAATTACAAATTAAAATATCAATTAATCGATTGAATAATTTTTGGTTTATTTTAGGCAAGTTTTGGCACACGTACGCACAATTCCAGAATTAATTTTACTAGGAAGTGCATCGCAAAATGTCAAAAGGCTACCCATATTTTCTTTTATGGTACGCCATCCACGTGGCACCTTCCTTCATCATAATTTTGTGTGCGCCGTGTTGAACGACGTTTTTGGAATACAAGCGAGAAGTGGGTGCGCTTGCGTTGGTCGATACGCTCACAATTTGATGGGAATCGATACAGAACTGGCAAAGGAGTATGAAAATTTATTGATGCAGAGGTAACTTGTCCAAAAATAATTTTCTTTCTTTTCTCATAACATTGAAAATATGTTAATGCAAATATTTGTATTTTTGTTTTCAGTCAACGTAACGAGGGTAGCGAAGAATTTAAAACGGAAGCATTGAGGCCAGGATTTGCTAAACTTTCCTTCCCCTATTTCATGTCCGAAGCTGAAGTTGCATTCATATTGGAAGCTTTAAAAATGGTGGCTACCGAGGGATGGAAACTTTTACCCCAATACGTTTTAGATCCAAATACTGGCGAGTGGAGACATCACACCAATGGTATATTAAAAGAAAGAAAATTATTGGGAACGATCAGATACACGGACGGTAAAATGAATGCATCCGAAAGGAGAGTATCAGGATCCGGTATTTTTCCACAAAGTTATTCCGATTGTTTACAAACTGCAAGAAATATCTTCAATCGTGCGCGTAAAATGGCACAAAGGTATCCTCTGCAAACTGATCGCATTTTTACATTTATCTCGGAACAAACGGAACAATTACGTTGGTTTATGTTACCGAACGAAGCTCAAGATCTTCTTTTGGGAAATTCGCAAAACGTGAAACAGGAAGTACCGTTCAATCCGTGTTTAGCAGCACATAGATTTGTTCATACGACAACGGCAACGAGTACTCACGAAAGTCTCGTCAATAGTTTGGCATTGGCCAATGGTATGAGACGTTTGAACAGTGATATCCCACGAACCGGAAATATTCCTATATCGCAAAATTCACCACGACATCGAAGTCTTCCAGCATTGAGCACGATAAGGAGGAACATGTCAACGATATCAGCATCAATGGAAACAAAAAGTAATTCCATGGAAATCGATGATAAAGGTGGATGTGTACGAAACGATAATGGGAATTCGACGGGACACAAATCACCGGCAACTTGCCCGAGTTCACCTATGCCAGTTCGATTTGCCGTAGGTGAAGCTGTAACACCGTCAGCCCTTTCTTGCATAACTCATGCGGTAACAACAAGACCAATGAAAGAACAAAGAGATTTGATAGAAACTAGAGACGCTGGACGTGCCAGATGCAATTCTTTGGGTAGTACAACTGGGACTAATAACACGACCAATAATCGATCCGGTATGTCATCCTCGTCTTCGCCAATACCGGTCCTACCATTGAGTCCTCAAACTCTGACGAGTTTAGGTTTAACTTCGGGACGTTTAGACATTGGTTCCTCAAAACAAAGACGATTGCATTGCAGTTGCAGTAGTCAAACCGAATTGAATTCTCTCGAGTTAGAAGCTATGAGTAATCTCAGTCATTCTATTTCGTCATTCAATTATCACAACGTCGCGTCACCCCCATCCTCGTATTCTTCGGTAGGCGAATACGCGGAAAGATTCGTTGCTGGTGGAAGATCTTCACCGATTTATTCGAACGTTGGTCAAAGATCCGACGACGATTTGAGTGCTTATTTGAAAGAAGTTACGAAAGAATTAGCAACCGAGATCAAATCTGAAATTCGCGAAGTTATATCAAAAGTGGACGATGCATTATCGGAAGCAAACACTTCAGAGAATACTCCGCAACATCATTCGCGTTATCATAACACAGTTAGCCAAATCTCAGCCGAGGATAGCAGACAATTGAGGCATGATTCGTTCACGGCAAGCGACATTGCCGAATATTTGATGGAATTTTCCAAAGAAATGGCTAGCGAAGTTAAATCCGAAATCAGGTGTATGGTTAACGCTGTTGATGGATTACACAGACACTCGCCGGATGCTTCAGCATCGGATGTATCTTCGAATGGATGCGAATCACCTGACAGAGGAAGGGTTTCTCTAACGAATACATCACCTAGGGTGTCGAGTTCTAGAAAACACGGTACATCTGAGATATCTGGCAAAATTGGTGAACTAACTCAACAGGAAAGTAAAATGTCGAGCGAATGTTCGTCAGACGAAACTGTGATTTTCGTTATGAAACCTACGGAAACCGAAAGAATGATAAATAACAATCGAAACAAAAGTACAGACGATAACGTCGATGACAACGATGTTGACGATGACGTTGACGAGGATTCCCAAGAACGCGGTTGTCCCGAGGACATTGCTGACGCTAGGAAGATCCTTCCAAAGATTTATTCGGCCGTTAATTCGGTAAGTTCGCAGGACAGTGGGATCAACCTATCGTTTCATGAAAATGACAACAACAAATCGTCGTCGATAGATTTGTCTGAATTGAAACGTAGCAGTAGCGCCGAATCTAATTCGACTAACAGTTATGGTAGAAAATCAAGGACTATTTCTAACAACGCGATGTCTAATTTATCCGCTAAATCTTCCTCGAAACAGCTGATACGTCAGAACGATGATCTTTTGTCCGAGGACGAGGAAGTTTCCTTGGATTTGCGAGAGGAAAAAGATGATCACGTTGACGTAGAAGGAGGATTCAAATTCGATGAAAAAGAAGGGGATAAAAATGTTTCTACGCGGGTTGTTCAATGGCACTCGGCACCCAGAAATATTTGGAAACCAACGGTGGAAGCCATACAGGAGTTCGATATGATCCGAGACAACGACAGGGTTCTTTTATGTCTTTCAATGCTTGGAAAAGATTCTCTGTCTCTTTTGCACACGTTACATCAATACAGGTTACACGCCAGGTCGAAAGGAATCGATTTTGAAATTGGTGCAGCTACCATTGACACCGGTGAATTTAATCGACTCGAATCGATCAGACACCTAAAAGCATTGGACGTTCCTTACTTTTACGAAGAATTAATCGTTGATGTCAACACTGTGACAACTGATACGCAAAACGATCAACCACTTTCCAACGAAGCTTGCAGCTTTTGCAACAGATCGATCAGAGCACAGTTGTACGCAATCGCTAAACGTCACGGTTACAACGTACTGGCACTTGGTCAACACTTGGATGATTTAACCGAGGGATTTCTTTCCTCTGTCTTCCACAGTGGACAATTGAAAACTATGAAAGCTCATTATTATATTCGTCGACAAGATCTTCGCGTTATAAGACCATTTGTATACGTCAGTGAAAAAGCTTTGAGACAATTTGCTCGTAGCAAACGACTCGTCCCACACGAATTTAACAAATCGACCGATCTTTCAGAGGTGAGATGATTTTCTTTATCCATTAAAATATTTGAAAATATGCATGAATTTATTATCCTATTTTTTTGTAAACGTAACTCAAGTATATTTCCAACATATAAATGGTCGATAAGAAATTTGTATTTGTTTTCAGAAACAAAAACAGAGCAAAGATATTTTAATCCAACAAGAACGAGCATATCCACGAATTTATTGGTCGGTACGTACGGCACTTCGACCATTGATAATATCCCATGGACAACTGCCAGATTTCGATATGACATGCAGCAATAGTTCTGGAAATATGACAAACAGTCCAAGTAGCAGTAGCGGAGTTAGCAGTATCAGTACTGCTAGTAACAGTAACGCAAGTACCACCAATAGTTCTAACAATCAACAGAAAAGGTATAGAAGAACTAAAACCAATTCACTTTCATCGACATCAAGTGGTAGTAGTGGTGGTGGTGGTGCTGGTGCTGGTGCTGGTAGTGTTGGTCATCATTTGTCAAATCAACGATTGGACGATGATGAAACTGATGAAGAACCGGTCCTTTGAGGAGGACTATCCGCGAGATGGGATCCTAAGCGGCGTCCTTCAGTCTCATCTTCGCGGGCACGTAGACGAATATTAGCACCGTCAACGTCGGCCATTTTAATACGAAGAAGAAGACAACGTTTTGCTGCCATGACCACCGCGGCCATTGTCCTTCCAAATGAATCGGAATTGTTCGATCATTGAATTCAATTAAAAAATATTAAAATTAAACCACAAAAAAATGAGGAAAATGAATTTGAAATGAGAACAAAAATATTCCTACGAAATTGTTCATCGCACTTTTTCGCTAACATCGATGATGACGATGATACTGATGACGATGATGATGATAATGATGATGCATACATCTTGGACATTGAAGTTTTGACAAAATTAATTACGAAGATTCATCGAATATTTTTCATTTATTAATTTTTTTTTTTTTTCGCTAACATAGAATATTCAAATATCTATGTACGTGTAATATGTGTGTGTTGACTTTAGCAAGGAAACTTTATCAAAGGATTAGAAACTTTCCTATATATATATGTATATTGGATTTGAGTGGATTTACATTGGAATGGGCAGCTAATAAGTATAATTAACTGCGAATAAACATTTGTTTCAAAAATTGGTATACAATAAATGTTATACCGATTTGTTTAATGTGGTTAGACATCAACGATCAACGTTGTTAAAATTAACTTGGACTGACGACGATTCGTGATATTAAACGAACTAGAATAATTTGTGTTTTAATATCTCCCATTTAAAAAAAATCGTCTCAAGATAAAAAGAAAGCAAAAAAAAAAAAAAAAAAAAACGTTATCGTCGAGAGTGTGTGCGTGTGTGTGGTGTAGGATTGTTAAAATGAACTTTGTTTATCGAAATTGCTTTATATACGCGCATATATATTTATATGTATGTCGTTATAGAAATGAAATTTAATCGGGAATACAATTGTTTTCTTTTTTTTTTTTGTTTTTTTTTTTTTGTTCAAATTATATAAGTTAAGATTCTTCATCGTATTAGTATTAAATAATTAAAACGATTAGGAGGAAAATGGAAAAGCGTCGTTTATATATAAAAAAAAAAAAAATAATAATAATAAAAAAAAATGAAATGAAGAAGATTTTTTATTTGTCTTGTAAAAGAAACAAAAAAATCAGGGATGAAACGGGGAGGAAAATAAAATGTGTCGAATATTTGAAAAAACGATCGTTTTCAAGCGGTCAAGAAAATGATCGACTTTTTAATATTCGATACGCGTTAATTAAATATTAAAAAAATATATATATATATATATATTTAAATAAACGAGACTAAACGATTAATATTTAACGTTAGATTTATTCACGTGTAAGATGAATGTATGTGTTTTTTAATTGTCAATCGATTTTCCAAATAATTATTTATCTTATTTTTTCTTTTTTTCTTTCTTTTTTTTTTTTTTCTTTTTCAAGTCTCATGACGCTTTATCCAAATTTCCAAATATTAATTTTGCATTGTTCGCAGCCCGTAGTGCACGGCGGCATGTTGCATGCACGCGCATAAAACAAAAAAAAATTGCTTAGCGCAACAAAATCACAGAACAAGGAATTTCAATGAAGAAACGTGAATAGCAACGTGAAACTTTGTTGTGTTGCGTAATTGTTTGATTAATTAATTAATTAATTAATCGAATGAAAACATAATACAAAAAAATGAAAAGCTTTTTTCCTTATCGAGTGATAATAATAATAATAATAATAATAATAATAATAATAATAATAATAATCGTTGTTCAAGAAAGAAGAAGAAGAAGAATGGATTTTAACTATGGTCATCTTTTTAAGTGGACATCATCGTTAATTAAATTCATGCTCTTTTATTATCCTGTAATCTACAATTATAAATTGACATAAGTTAGTTGCGAAACGAAGTATCCTTTTGCGGCCGGATATTGTGAAAAAGAAAATGATAGAAAATGATCCAACAAAAAAAAAAAAGAAAAAAAAAAGAAAAGAAAAGAAATAAAACGATGGACGATACGTGACCCAAAAAGAAAAAACCAAAACAATTAATTAATTAATTAATGTTTCGTCGTAAAAAAAAAAGAAAAAGAATATTTCGAACGACTCGAATTAATTTTGTCGAATTTTAAATGATGCATAACGAAAGTAAACAAATCAAAAATATTTAAAAAATAATCGCGTACATCGAACGTTTTTTCAATTTCTATAAATATTCTTTTTTTTTATTTTTTGTTTTTTTTTTCTTCTTCCTATCATTCGAATACTTCATCGAAGAGTAAAATACATACATACATACATACATATTCATACATATATATATATAAATATAAAAAAATCAAACCGTACGCGTATCACTCGTGTAAACGCAGAACACAGTGATTAATTCTATAAGTGTAAAGTAAAGTAAAAAAAAAAAAAAAAAGAAAAACTTAGTTGTAAATACGTATAAATATAAATTGTATTCTCGACGACGACGAACGTGATCGTAAAAGAAAAAAAAAAAAAAAAGAAAAAAAAAAGGAAACAAGATTTCGATCAATCTCATTGATTTTTCAACGATGGAAAATGAGATATCGATAAAATATTATTTTGTATGGTCGCGTATCGATGCATCGTTTTTATTTCTTTTTTTTTTCTTTTTTGTTCTTTTTTCGTTTGGATTGATAATCGTTTTGACCGACGATGAGAGAATGTGTGTATGTATGCATGTGTGTGTGTGTGTGTGTGTGTGTATGCGATGAATCCAAAAACCAAATCGCATATCACATTAATTAACTTAAACATCCCCTTATAAATATTTAAATATTTTATTGTGCGTGCATCGAATTATTCAATGAAAAAAAAAAAAAAAACACTCATGGATAAATGTGTTTCAAAATTACACAGTGGCATTGATAGAAGAAAAAAAAGAAGAAGAAGAAGAAGAAGCAACATTGATATGTGAAACAAATCGATTATGCGAAATCAAACTCGTAAAAAAAAAAAAAAAAAAAAACTATTTTGAATTTCATTCATATGAATAACCCATAAATATAATTAATAATATAATTCGTCGAATCGAATGAAATATTGATGCATAAATCGATAATATGTTTCAACGTGTATAGGGGGGGGAGGGGGGTTAACTTAGTGGGGAGGAAAAGTTTTACCATTTTCCTTATATTTATTTTCTTTTTTTTCTCTCTCTTTTTTTTTTGTTAAGAACCGTCGTATACAAAAATAAAAAAATAAAAAAAATAAAACCCATAGGTAAAAGAAAAAAAAAAAAAGAAAAAAGTACGACGGACAAACGTAGTTGTTTGATGGGATGTGTATCTTTTTCTCGACTATAATCGTAAATTTTGATTTCTTTTTTCAAATCTCATTCGTTGTAAGATAAAATGAAAGAAAGAAAGAAAAAAAAAAAAGAAAGATCGGTAAACATTTTTCCGTCCTGTGTCTGCATTTTGTGAAAATGAAAAAGTTGAAAAAAAAATGACGATAGTTTACCGACCAATCAAAGTAATCCTTCGATAATAGTGATTGCTACGAATTTTGAAAATGAAAATGAAAAAAAAAAACGGAAGAAAACAAATTTACGAATGGTCGAAAGAAAAAAAAAAAAACTTGAAAACAATTATTGAAATGTATTTAAATATTTAACGTCGTAACGTTTTCTTTTGCGTATGATCGTGAGAAAAAAAAAATAAAATAAATAAATAAGAAAATAGAAAAAAAAAAAAAACAAAATGAATAAAAGTTTATTCGATACGGCTAAAATATAATTGTATGTTTCGCTGTTAAATTAGAGAACTCGTAAATCTCGCATTATAGCTCGCATGTAAAACGCACGCAAAACTTTCAAAAGAAAGAAATAAAGGAAAAAAAAAAAAAAGAAAAAAAAGAAAAAAAAGCAAAATCATAGAGAAAAGAAAAAGAAAAAAATACAAACAAAAAAAAAAAAGAACAAAACAAAACAAAAAAAGAAGTTAAATAAAAAAAAATGGAATGAATTGTCCATCTTGTCGGAATCAACAACAAGTCTTTCGTGTAGGGAGGGCGTGGATGATCTTTTTGTCAAGGGAATTCGTTTCGTCTTTGCATTAGCTCACGGAATGAGACTATTGAGAAGAAAAGAAATTGATAAAGGGGTGGTACAAGAAGATGGTGAGATTCAAAAAAGGAAAGGATTTTGAAGGATTAAAAAATAAAATGAAATGATGGAAAAAGAATGAACGAATCGTCGAAAGAAAAGAAAAGAAAAAGAAAGCAGAGAGAAGAAAAACAATTGAAAAGAAAATTCAAAGTAAGAGAAGTGTTTTTTTTTTTTTAACACTTCTTTTGAAGGGTGGTGCAGATGAAAAGGAGGGTGTGTGTGCAAGATGAAAAAAATTGTGGATCTATCAAAATCCTTACGAATAGATATTAATTATATTTTCCGAGAATTACGAGAGGTCATTGTTACTGTAAAGATATGTAAGTTTATTTATCGCTAATAAAAACGAATGTTTAAAGAAACTAATTTTCATGGGGATTAATTTTCTCCAATGATTATCATCAATCAAATATTTTTGCTATCCCCTTCTCTAGAAAATATATATTTCCTGTTTATAATTTGTTATTCAAGTAAAAAGAATTGTAGGTAAGTAATCAAAGAAATGATGACAATGATTGACCTTATTAATTTTTTATAAGTTTGTTCGATTAATTTTTAAAATAGCATGCGTTTTTTATTTTTTATTTATTTTTTTATTTTTTTTTTTTACTTATCGAATGTTGAATAATATTATATTTTTCATTAACACAGTTAATAGTTTCGACATACCTCATTTTCTTTTCACAAAAGCAATAATCCCAGATAGATTCGATGATGATTTTTGATTTATTATTATTCGTATCGTTTTAAGAGAAATATTTTTTGTTTATTTTGTTTTAAAAAAGATCATTGACTTAAAAATCACATCTTAGCAGATAATCATTTTATTTATTCATTTATATTTTCATTGTTATATTAATATAACTTTTTGTTGTTGTTTGTTTTTCGATAGAATTAGAGTGATGAAAAGTTTCGAAGGATTGAAATTTTGTTTCGTATGCTCAGACAACAACACATCGTTGACAAAAAGGAAAAAAATTTCAATTTTATTTTCGATCGTCGATTCAAAATTGTTGCTGATTATTTTCATCGACGATCAAATTTGAATTAGAGTGTGTATGCGTATGTTTGTATTTTTTTTTATTTTTAATCGAGCATATCATCGTAATAACGAATTTACATCGATCGACTTATCTAATTTAAAAAGATTGGAATATTTTTTTTTAATTTTTTTTTTAATTTTTTTTTTTATTATAATTCTTCAAGACGATATTTAAAAAGAGAATGTTTTTAATTAATTGGCCAAACATTGAACTCGTTATTTTATTTTATTTTATTTTATTGTTTTTTTTTTTGCGTAATTTTTTTCTATCTCTTTTCTTTTCTGTTTTTTTTTGCTTTTTTTTTTTTATTTCATTTACGTATCGAAATTTCACAACAACGAGATTACGAATTGTTATCTTTTTTTTTTTTTGTTTTGTTCTCTGTTTGTTATTTGTTTGGATTCGCGTATGTTGTTTTTTTTTCTCCTGCTTTTTCTTTTTGCGTTCGAAATCGAATAGAAATTCCAAAAGCACAGTGTGTATATTTGTATGTTCCGCATATGACCTTATGTGTGTGTGTGTGTGTGTGTGTTTGTACTTGTGTTTATGTTCGTGCGTGCTCGAGATAATACATTAAACCTAGAAATAGCTTAAAATCTATTACAACTACTTGACACAATCACATTTTAATTTTTTGTTTTCTTTTTTCTTTTTTTTTTTTTTCTTTTTTCTTGTCTTTCAGAATAAAATGCAAATATTTTCATTTTTATTATTTTTTTTTTTTTTAATAATTTTCTTGATTTTTTTTTTTATCTTCAGTGCATTGAAAAGTGCCAAAAAGTAATTCACTCACACATCAGAGTTTCTATTCGAAATACGTCAATGTTTAAATAAATTCGTTTACATACACTCACGCAATTAATTTGTTGTTTAATGTGTTTAAACGATTCCGATTCGAAAATTGGCCAACGGAACGTGAAAACGTTCTTTATTCATTTTATATACTTTTCTTCAATTTTTTTTTTTTCATAACAATCATATAATTAATAATAATAATAATAATAATAATAATAATAATAGTAATTGTTATTAACTACTTATCGATATTTTATTTTATTTTAATTAACCAGAGAAAAGAACGTTTTTCATTGAATCACATAGAAGAATTTAAATACTAATTTAATTTGTAATTTTGTTTTTTTTTTTATTATTATTATTGCGCATTTTTTAATAAACTTTATCGTTGATATAATTCGCGACAAAAGACGAAATATTTTTAGCAAAATAAATAATAATAATAATCCAATTTTTGCATTTAAAAAAAAAAAAAAGAAAAAAAAAAGAAAAGAAAACTATCGATGGTTCGAAATTTAGCAAATGTCAAATTGTCAATAGCGTTGTTGTTATTGCATTAATTAATTTTTTTAATTTTATAACATTAATTTTGTCATTATTATAGAAGTAATTGAAAAGGTAGAAGAGTGTTTGTTTGTGTGTGTGTGTGTGTGTGTGTGTGTGTGTGTGATAGTGTGAGGAATAGTGAGTGTGTGGGAGAGAGTGAGAGAGAGAGAGAGACAGATATAAATAGAAAATAAGATTAGAAGAGAAAAATCGTTATTACGGAAACGATTTGTGATACTCTTTTTCATTTTTCATTTTGTTTTTGTTTTTGTTTTTTTTTCTTTTTTTTTTTATAAAGATCAACCATGTCGTGATCAATCCGTGTTGCAATAATAATACTCGTTATGTTGGTGACTGTGATTCCTCTTCTTCTTCTTCCTCTTCGTCCTCGTCAATGCCAGGTTCACCAAGTGCATGAACGAATTCTAAAATATACAAAAAAATTTATAAATTATAAATTTAAATAAATTCATTTTATTTTTAAATATAAGAGAATGTTATAATATATTCTTATCTATAATAAAATAATATAAAATAATTTTTGTAATTATTAGAAATTATTTCAATTTGTTAATGGATATTTTTAGATGAAGATAAAAAAAAACTTATTAATAAAATATTAATTATAATTAAATTAATTAAATTAATTTAGGATAGTAATAATATTAAAAATTATTTATTAAATTAATTACTGTTTAAAATAAGTACTTCCTATTTGTTTTTATTTTATATTTGCAATATTATTATTATTTTAAGATAAAGATAAAAAAAAACTTATCAATATTTTATTAATTACAATTTAATTAATTTAATTAACTTAAGATATTAATAATATTAAAAATATTTATTAAATTAATGAATATTTAAAATAAGTATTTTTTATTTTTATTTTATATTTAATATAACTATAAAAATAAATAATTAATTATTATATTTGTAATATTATTAATATCTTAAGATCAAGATAAATAATACTTATTTTAAATATTAATTATAATTTAATTAATTTTATTAACTTAAGATATTAATAATATTAAAAATATTCATAAAATTAATGAATATTTAAAATAAGTATTATTCATTTTTATTTTATATTTAATATAACTATAAAAATAAATAATTAATTATTATATTTGTAAATTATTAATATCTTAAGATCAAGATAAATAATATTTACTTTAAATATTACTTATAATTTAATTAATTTTATTAATTTAAGATATTAATAATATTAAAAATATTCATAAAATTAATGAATATTTAAAATAATTATTATTTATTTTTATTTTATATTTAACATAACTATAGAAATAAATAATTAAGTTTTATTTTTTTTAATTATTATTAATATTTTCAGATAACGATCAAAAAAACAAAATAAAACAAATATCCATAATTATTTGTGAATAATTGATAAATATAATAATACAATATTCAAATAAAAATATCATTTAGAAAATGTTTTGTTTCCCTTTATCAGCACGTAAGTCATTTATATGAACCTTTTTTTTTTTTTTTATATATATATTCATGGAAAATCGGTTCTTCAAGAATAGAAAAGATTGTTCAAGCTCTTTTGTAAAATATATTGGATCTATCATCGTCAAGAGTATTATTTACGACGATAGGGTCTTATTTGAAGAGAAAAAGGCTAACAGAAAATCGAGCTCTTTTTATATATATATATATAAACCTTTCATTCTTTCTTTTCTTTCTTTTATATCTTTGCACGGTTGCATACAAAGTGAACGTGCTGTTGCAAAAATGATAGAAAAAAAAATAAAAGAAAAATAGAAAAATAGGAATAACACATTTACCATAGAAATCTATTCGACCATCCCCGTCGACGTCAACTTCCTTGATCATATCTTCAACTGTAAAAAAAAAAAACAATTACAAAAAATAAATATACAAATCAAATTAATTAATTAAATATTTCTACACTGTTTTTTTTTTTTTTTTTTATATATATATAAAACTCGTGATTATATAATTTATAGATTATATACACGAAATTATATTACTAATTAAATATTCGAAAACTTATTTATAAAAATAAAAAGAAATACAAATACAAATTAAATTAATTAATTATATTTGTAGATTTTTTTATATATAAAAAAGTTATATTATATAATTTGTAGATTATATACACGAAATATTATATTATTATATATAAAATATTATATTTTATTACAATATTTTAATAATAATATTGAAATACTATAATTATTAGTAAAATTAAATTATATATATAAAAGATATATAAAATAATATAATTTCGTGTATAAAAAAATGTAAATCAAATTAATTAATTAAATATTTCTACACTATTTTTTTTTTCATATAAAAACGTGATTATATAATTTGTAGATTATATATACACGAAATATTATATTATTATATATAAAATATTATATTTTATTACAATATTTTAAT